TCTCTCCGCATATAATTCCTTCAACTGAATACAGGAAGACTGCGTCCCCTACCAGGTTGGGGGGGCTTGGAATTCCCTCCTTTGAGGCTTTATACCATGCTAACTTCTGCTCTTTTTTATGGAGATTTTTTACTAGAGATAATTTAACTATGGCTTGGTTTAGAACCAAATATACCTCTCCCTGGAAGCCTATCAGTCCTATGGCTTCAAAATTCTGGAAGCGAATTTATGCAACTGCTATGTTGGTTAAGGGGAAATTTTCATTTGCTATTTCCTATAACTGTCAGTTATCCATGGAATGGGACCACTGGTGCGGTGGTAGATCTTTGCATGATATTATGCCCACTTATAGATTCAGGAACCCTCTTGTGAACAGTTATTTAAATGATAATTTGATGGGCTATCCCTCCCTCTACCCCTTTTTTACTGCTGAATGAAATTGTGGGTATTAGCATTATTGAGCAACCCAGGGTGACCTGGGATGGCATTGTTAATCCATCATTCTCTACATTTTACACTAGTTTTTTTACTCACTTGGAAGAAGTTAGCTGGCACAAATTTATATGGCATAAGAGGAAATCTCTTCGGTTTTCCTCCTACGCCTGGATGGCTTTGTTGGGGAAACTAAAAATGGCTGATCTGCTTCTTATGAAAGGGATTAATGTTATTTCGAATTGCTCCTTTTGCTCTATCGGAAGTGATAATCACTCGCATCTGTTTTTCGCTTGTGATTTCTCTTATTCGGTGATTATCTCATTGCTGCCTCCTCTGGAAGTTTTTCTTCTCAGGCCTAATTTACTGCAGACTTTTGAATTTTTTGAGGAATCACAGGAATTCTGTAGTTGGGAAAAAAACTTTTGCTACTTTACAATTTGCAGCTCTATTTACTTTTTCTGGAGGGAAAGGAACACAAGAAGATTTGATAATGTTTGGAAAAGCCCCACTCTTCTTTGTGACACCATCAGGCAGGCCATTTTTGCTAAGGTTAAAAACTGGAAATATTATGATGCTCTCAACAGGCGTTTTGGTATCAATCGTTAATTCTGGATGGTTAGTTTGGTGGTTTTGGTGGGCTATGATGACCGTATTGCCTCCTGGCCCCTTGGAGGGCAGGGGGAGACATTTGCAAGATCTTCGGTATGGCGTTTCTACTGCAACCAGGGGCTTGTGTCCGTTCGTGGGGCAATACCCTGAGCCCAATTTTGATATCTTCCACCAAGTTTTTTCCTTCCTGTCTCTTTTGATTGAATTTTTGATGGAATTGTATTTTCCTTTTCTTTTAAAAGGTTTTTACTTTTTTTTTTGGGAAAACCCGGGGCAAAAGAGCCCATGAATGA